TAAAGTGAGTATGCTCACTTTACATACGAGGGCTTTCCCTAATCTGCACGCTTGTCTGGTCGGTTTGAAATCGCAATTCCACAATAGGGTAGTTTCCTAAATTTTATTTTAATGTTCGTCTCGTACATTTATTTAAAACATTACACACGTTTTATTTTTCTCACGTAATTAAATACCTTGGACGATATATTAAGTCGAAATATTGTGTGACGTCACCACGTGCTACATTTTGACGTAATGACCTCTCTCGACTCTTAAACTTAACGCCATTTCATCTAAGTATTGTAACTTCATGCGAGAAAAAAAATACTTGTCTTTTATTTTTTGATTAGGTATCTAACTGACGGACTAATTACATTTTTAATTTTCATACTCTGGCAACTACCCAATTGGCTGTTATGATACCCATTACCCGAGGGGAGAGTATAGGTAGAGATCACAGAACATACATATAAATGTTCTGTGGTAGATGTGGCCTTCTGTACCATCACCAAACGGCACCGTCACTAAACGACAACTCTTATTACACAACTGGCCGAAAAGAAAAAAAATAGAATAAAACGTCATCTAAATTGGTCTATTGATCGTTATAGCCTGTGGTCGTACGAGCCGCTGACAATGGCTGGCTAAAAGCTTTCTCAAGGGTAAGCAGCTAAGCAGCAGTTATTGTGTTTGTCACCCGGATCGGCTCGCGATGCGTATCTATCGGTTACTTATCCTTACTAATATTATAAATCTGAAAGTGAGTTTGTTTGTTTGTTTGTTTGTTCCACCTTCACGCCGTAACTACTAAACCGATTGCTTTGAAATTTTGCAGACGTAAAGTTAGAAGTCCAGATTAAATAATAGGGTACTTTTTATCCCGGAAAAATGTGATATTCCCGAGGGAAAACAAAAATATTAGTATAGATGGCGCTGTGTGTATTCCTGTAGATGGCGCTTTGTGCCATCTAAAACAATTCAACGAATTACCTACTAATTGGAAATTTCACGCTTTAATCTATAGCGCTTATTTGGTGTTAATCTACACTTATTCAGTGCGCTTTTCGACTCATTTATTTGCTATTTTTTATGTAAAAATACTTAAAAAACACAACGTGGTAACGTTGTGTAGTAGTTACGCTACTTGGCGATAGATGGCGCTGAGTGTTTTTAAAACGGGGTAGCGTTGTGCTTTTAAAGTACTTTTATCGCTTTTAAATTTTGGTTCCTACCATTTTACATTGAATTGTGTATTTTATAGATTTTAGGTTGTTAAAGGTACATGAAATTGGTGTCTATGTAGTAGTTACGCTATTTTTTAAGTATTTTTCGCTTTTAAATTTTGGTTCTAACCATTTTACATTAAATTGCGTATTTTATAGATTTTAGGTTGTTAAAGGTACACAAAATTGGTGACTATGTAGTAGTTACGCTACTTGGCGATAGATGGCGCTGAGCGTTTATTATTATATATTCAACGGGGTAACATTGTTTTTTAAGTATTTTTATCGGTTTTAAATTTTGATTCCTACCATTTTACATTGAATTGGGTATTTTATAGATTTTAGGTTGTTAAAGGTACACGAAATTGGTGTCTATGTGGTAGTTACGCTACTTGGCGCTGAGTGTTTATAAAATAGCGTTGTGTTTTTTAAGTATTCTTCGCTTTTAAATTTTGGTTCCAACCATTTTACATTAAGTTGCGTATTTTATAGATTTTAGATTGTTAAAGGTACACGAAACCATAGTGGCAACAATACTCAACAATTAGCAAATATATTGTACGCTGTTGTTTCAACGCTCGATAGATGGCGTTAGGATCGAGTTAGATGGCGCTATGGTTTCGTTACCGGCGAAAGTATAGGTTCCGAGCTTCCGTATCAACTATATTTTAGGGTACGCATCTAGCGCTTATATTGATTATTATTTGTTCGCTTTGTAGGTATGATTAGTCAAGTGTTATTTTTTCTAGGTAGATATATAAAGAACTATAGTAATTTTTTTTCGTCGTTCTAAGACGCTTTGTTCATTGTTTACGTTGATTGATACAGTAGCTATATTAGTTATGTTAGATTAGTGAAGTGGTTTATTTCTAAGTAGATGTCTAAAGTAGTTAGGTTTTCGATAATAAAACGTATAATAATTATAGTTTACCACTCAGTTTTGGTTTAGCATTGCAAATATAACCCTTATAGGAAATAGAAGTCTTTTAAATTAAAATGGGAGGAGGTATTTGTGGTAATGCGAAAATAACTTCTTCTGTTCTTTCACGCGGCTGAATCGATTTTGGTATAAAGGTAGTTTGAGTCCTGGAAAAGCGAGTCTTTACCGCGGCAGAAATTCTCATTCCCACAGAAAAATCTAAAACGCGCGTTATAACCGAATTCCACGCAAGCGAACAGCTGTTTGTTTGTTTGCCTGTCTTAAACGGCAAAACGGAGGTACTTAACGTGATTTTTCAACTGAAGGTAGTTGAAGGGATGGGTAGTCACATAGGCTACGTTTTATCTTTTTGTGACGCGAGCGAAGCCGCGGGTAAAAGCTAGTATGTTATAACCGCTGTACCAATTAGACTAATGAATTTAGGGTTGTGACTTGACAATCATAAGTGTCATTTTAATGTGATACTTTTATTACTAACGATATTAGTTCTACAATAGCCGGGGATTGTCCTTGGGTGCATTTCTGTAGTGCATAAAGGGATAGTCGCCGGTTTATGTGTTCATTACATTTCGATTAAAGTTGTCTAAAGGGCCTCTGTGTAGTTGGCTTCGGCCCGTCATACGCCTCCTGTCGCTTGTGGTCCCGTTCATGGTATAGACGATATTTTACATTTCATTTATTCCGATTAATATCACTTCAAATAATTTGCTTCAGAAATATATGATGACCAAGAGTTTCAAGATGCAATTTGTCCTAATCTATTTTCAGAAGCAATCTGGCAAACCTAAACAATGCTAGGATTTCAACTACTTTCGAATCGACACAAATCGATATATCGATTAAGAATTCGTTATCTGGTTCACTACTTTACAGATTAATGAATAGAATCGAATAACTTACTAGGGGATCTGAATAATCGACACGGTGTAATCAGATCGCAATCTCTTTGGTGAATTTATAAGGATCAACCATTTTCCGCTTGCGTACAAACGATTCCTTATCGGAGAATCGGAGCACCATTTTATTTATGTATAGTTACAAGCAACTTATAAACAGTAAAAATGTGCTTCTCCGTAATACATTAAATATTTTTCAATAACAATAGGGTGTTGACGAAACAGAAATAGAGAAATAGGAATATGAAAAAGAATATCTGTTTTTAATATTTGCGAACGGTAATCTCCGGAACTAATGGGCATATTTTAATGAAACTTTTTTGTTGTGTAGCTTAAGTGATAAGTCTGGGCAATATATAGGGTAAGTTTAATTTGTTTGGTAACTGGAATCTGAGTAAAAAAGTCGCTGGTATGTGCTAGTATGAATCATATAGAATTATACATAAATAGTTAACTATATGTATAAATTGTTTGATCTTGTATCTGTTCTATACAAATAGAGGTCTGTCGTCAATGGAATCTTAATGGTTTTGTAATGGACTTGGAATTAAAAGCGTTTCTGGGTAAATGTTGCTGAGTACCGCTTAAGTATTCGCGTGCGTACTACAAATGTGTTTTGTGCTGTTTTTTGGCGTAAGTAGCAAGTAGGTGTAGATAATGAATAGGTACTTAGGTGTGCAATATTATAGTGCAATTCCTTAAGTTACTAAGGTATGGTTGTATGAAGGAAATGTTGACTGTGTATAAAGATATTATAAGTATCTGAATCTGGTAAGTCTACTTAAGTTATCGATCGAGTAGCAATACTTTTTTTTTAAGAGGTCAGCAACACACATGTGTCTCATCCGATACGGGCGGCGCTGGTCGCTTACTATTAGGTGATACGTCTGCTAATTTACGCTCAATTCCATTAAAGAAAATTTGATCCCCCAAGTATAAGATCGAGCTCAGGTTTAATCGAATCAATCACGAAATCAGAACCAATTACGGAGTATTTCAGTAGATATATTAAAAAAATATATATAATTAACATAAAAGTTATCAACCTGCTTCGTTTGATTCGGGTCTCGCTACTTAATACAGTGTACTAAGTAGGCACCTACCTTGATCCTTAATAGCATTGAGGACATGGGGCACTCCGATCCAAGGGCTTGGCAAGTCAAGGAACACTGCATCAGCTTTACCATTTAGTTCTTCACCAAATCCATCAGCTAATACATCTCGGTGTTTCGCCTAAAATGCAAGATTATTACAACTACAGAATGTAACTAGAGGCCTGAGTACGAGTTTCTATTATGTTTAAAGTAATCGAAACGATACCGGGTTCGGCGCTCTGATTGGCCGGCTTCAATGAACCAACCAATCAGAGCGACGAATGCGGTCTCGTTAACGTAAAACAAACTTGTACTAAGCCTGCTGAAAATTTATTTATTTTATTTATTGCAACTTAATACAACAAGTGTGTACATGTGGACTTAATGTCTTGGGCATTGTCTCCCAGTCAACCTTTAAGCAGTGCAGAGATGAAAGTTGCAGGTGATTTTAAACCTTTATGAGGAAATGTACCAGTACAATAAACAACAAATCACACAATCATAACATTCAATAAATACTATATAGGTATATTTGAAAACTTATACTTACATAATTATGTATACAATATTAAAGACTCAAAGAACTCAATGTAAAGGAAATGTAAAATATTATGGACCTTATGTCTTGAATAATAAAGATTAACCAATTTGTAGTGACACAATGATACCATACTTACTAGTGAGTTGCTTTTTCAGTGGTACTTTTTCTTTTAATATTTACATTCAAAATTAACCAAGCCTAAATTAATATTTTTTTTTTACAATGGATAAGAATAAAAGTAATAATTTAAAATACAAATTATGTGAACTAGCCTAATAATCCACTGTTGATTCAAAGTAAGGAGATAGTATTAAAAATACAGCTTTATCTACTTACAGTAACAAAATCCCCAATACCATGTTCTTGAAATTCCTCCTGAGCGACCTTACTCCTATGTTCATGGAAGTCAAATGTATGGACATGGCCATGTGGTCTCACTCTCCTTATCAGCGCATGAGTCAGGGAGCCACTTCCAGTACCTACATTGAATATAAATTAATGATTTCTTTTTGTTTAAATTTAAAAATGGAAATTCACTCTATGGAATGATATAACATAGTTAAAACAAAATTAATGGTAAGAAAATTACAAAAATACTAAAAATTATAAATGTGAAATAGACATAACATTTAATAACATTACAATTGAAAAGGGTAGACAGCATCCATTTTTGAGCCTAATGCATGTCACAATCAAAGGTTTAATAAGATATTTTATTCACTACCTATTTGTTTTATTTGTGTTTAGAGATCAATAAATAACTTTATTAATTTATTTAATTCTAATCAATGATTTTAAAAATATTATATTGCTTAACTTACCAGCTTCAATTACAATGGACCCAGGAACTAAATCAAGTTGTAATAGAATCATGCTTATATCTGGAGTGTATATAATCTGTGTGCGATGAGGCAGGGTCAACGACCACAGCTCCGGAGTAGGCTGTATAACATGGCCCCAACCTTTTGACAACTCCACCTTATTAAAAATATTACAAAAGAAATTAAATTTTTATGGACAAGTAATCAGTGATAAATTTAAATTTAGAAATTATTTCAAGAATACTTCTGATTTTATGTTCTTGTTGTTAATTTTTTTATTGTTTTTGAACAGTTTTATAATCTATTGGTTACACTATTTCATTTCTGCTTCATTGTTATAAAATTAATTGAGTACTTTCTTAGTTTCTTCACTTGATAATCTATAGGAGGTAGAACTAATATATGAGATAGGTTATAAAACTTTAAAATTAAATATTTTGTTAAATTACTATACAATTTGTAGTAGAATCTATGTTACTTGAACACTTACCCGGCTTCCATAGTTGGCTCCAATAAGAGTTCTTACTTTTAACGCACCGAAAGGAGTTTGGTACACATTTTCTACTATTTCACCTTTTTTATTTTTCATTTCTGGCCGCACATCTATAGCATATAAGTTGTTACTTAGATACAGAATCGCTGTATCTCCTTCCTCAATCTTATCCTTGTAGTTTCTGAAACTCATTTTATTTTCACTATGTTCTTTCCAATTTCTAAACTCGGTAAAGTTTGTAAACAAACCACGAGGGGTCTGAAGTTTTGACGTTACGTTTTATTTAACACACCTACATGTTTCTTCTCTTGGTAATTTAGAAAAAAAAATCGTTAAAACAATGATTTGAAAATTAATATTTCATTTTATTACGAATTTAAAAATGTAATATAAAAGAATAGGTGTAACAAAGATATGAACACTTGTAAAATGTTTGTTCGGCCATCAGCAGTTACAAAACGTTAAACCAAATGAAATGACAGGTTTGTTCACTACGAAATTTTATCGTGTTCTGATTGGTCGAAATGTAATGTCATGGCAGTAACCAATAGGATCACACTTCATTCTCGAATCGTATATGACGTTTGGAATAGAAAACTTACCATATTTGACGTTGCTGGCTTGTGGTCAAAATAGAGATATTGTGGTTTTATTGAATTAAAACAATACAATGACTGTGTAAAACTGAAAATTATCACATTTTTGTTTATTCCTTGTGAGCTAAAAGTGAAATATGGTGACAATGGATGCGTCCAAAGTGACGAGTAAAACTAGCTCGTTGAAGGCACTGATCCTCAAAGCTTGGAGGGAGCGGTGGACGGATATACAATGGGGAATCAACATCAAGACTATTCTCCCGCGAGGAGTTAGCGGTGATCTGTATAACCTAGCAGACTGCATACTTCAACAAGCGATGGTTGGCTGTGGAGCAAATCAGTTAGTGATATCATATTTGAAACATTCACTGGCATCTCATCTTGTCTCGTATGCCGCAGTTTTGCAAAGAATAGCAAAATTTGATGCATTTCATAAACCTCATTGCATCATGAGCTTACTTGAGTTCTTGGAAGGTGTCCTTGATGGCATAACCTGTCGTGGCAAAATGGAAGAAGAAGTATTGTCGTTTGCTGTGTCATCGATAATTCTGTGGCTGTTGCAAGTATACCATTACTGTCTCAGCAAATATCCATCATCAAATCCTATTCAAAGTCAAGAATTATTGGAAAAGTCCACATCACTGTTAAACTCTATAATGAATGCTGATTTTCTACTAGCTATGTTCTATTTGGCTAAACAGAATGATCCTAAAGAGTACAATGAAGTCACAAAGAAATGCCAGGAAATCACAGCGTTCATGATGATGAACACTCAGTTTAAGGCACCTGTCACTATACATGAGACATTACAAAAGATATGCAATATGGATATTGATAAGATAGCACCGTTGAACAATAAGCCCGAGCCTGTAACTCATTGCTTACAAGCACTTATAGCGGTTAATGTGCTATCTAACCCTAGTGCTAATATGCAACAGCTATCCAGTCAGCTACTCATGGTGCAGCGGATTAAAGGATACCCATTATCAAGACTTTACTGTGAACTTATTAGAGCCAGTTTTATTTCCCTCAATGATTCAAGCAAGGATTCTACAACACAATCTTTGTGGGCCGCCTTTACTTTCCTGAAAGTACCACAAGTCATTCATTACCTACACAATCTTTGTGGTACTACAGCCAAGGATAGTGAATATTCAATAGAAATTGCTGAAGCATTTGAAAAACTGCTACAGTCAACACCACTTTTAGATATTGTTGATACAAAGAACAGTTGCAATAGTATAGTGTCCCTCTTAGAACCTTTAGTCAAACTAAATGTAGTATCAGATAACCATTTGGCATATTTCAAACAGAAGCGTGAACACAAAGATGTTAAATTGCAAAAGTTGGAACCAACTGGCCTTCAGGGTTCAGTTCCAATGTTTATTACTAGAGCAGAACCAACTTTAACGGGCATTTTGAAAACATTGGGCGGTGATTGTCACAAAACACAGGACTCCTTATATGCTATGCTGTGTCAAATCGTAGTTGGTGGCACTACTTTAGATACTATACTAGCTGTTGCAACTGTAGAAGGAAAGTTGAAACTATTTGTATCTAGATTGATCAAGTTCAATGAATTTGCATTACTTGCTGCCAATGAAAAAGGAGCACCTCAATCTAAGGCATACATTTTTGATATTTCATTTTTGATTTTGTGTTCCATTGTTCAAGATTATGGCGCTGATGCTGTCTTAGATGAAAATGGAGACTCATTCTTCGAAAAATGGGTAAAGGAATGTATGGCTTATCAGGGAGTTCATAAATCTCCAGATCAGATCCTCCAAAAATGTGATCCACAACTTGTGGAAATATTTATTAGTCATTTAAGTGCACCAGAATTTGACTTCAAAAATACTAATATTAAAGTTCATGATCTATGCATTAATGTCAGTGGAGTGATAAAAGAAATTTTGATTGCTTGGGAACATGGTTCACTAACGGCTTCAGAAGTCAAATGTATGTTGGATTCCTTGAGACAGAAAATGGCTTGTTTGGCGGTATGTGCTTCAGTATGGTTATGTTCTTACATTAATGTTGTCAGTCAAGAAGCGTTTTTGAAGCCTATCAATATGGTTCAACAATTTCTGGTAGCCCCAACTGAAGGTGAGTTGACACAAATTGATAAATTTAAGGAAAGAACTGTTTTAATGTGTCAAATTGTGAGAAAAATGCAATATGATATTCACCCACCTTCATTGCCAAAATCGAAAGCTTTGTTTTGACTCATAACATTATATCAAGGCAACCCATTCTGGAACAATTACAATCAGTTTGGGAGGATATCAAAACGAGAGGGTATCTACATATTGATTCCACACATATAGTACAGAGTCTTTTGAATACGACAGGTCCTATTTGGTTCGTTACTAATTTAGTTAAAGAAACTCTGAAATTCAGATATCAGGAAGACCTAGATAGGTCGATTGATATTGTTCTCGCAATGTTCCACTTGGATATCGAGAAATGCACAGAGGCTCTTTTGCTTCATGTTTTGCCACAATACTTGTATAACGCTAAGTTATGTGAGGATTTAGTAGAACCTCAATGTGCAGTACTAGCAAAACTGGCAGTTTACTCCATTTATGCTGCTCTGGAATACAGTAATCTGAACAAAGGGCAGCCGTCTAGAAAGCGTCGTCATGACGATGCAGAAGACTTGGATATGTGTAGTTCGTCTAAGGTTAGAAGGCTGAACGATAATTCTTCTGATAGTATGTATTACTCCCAAGGACACACTGTTTCGGGGACCACATTAAAAGAACCATTACTTTCTGCTCTAGATACGTTGTACACGTCATTTTCCCAATTGGCGGGAAAAAATGGCGATATTACTCCGCAAACCGATTTTATACTGCAGTTCCTAGTTTACGTTGTACAATGTGGCCAAGATAGAGCTCCATTAGTTTTGCAAAAGATGCCAAGTGAACTTGTACCGACACTTATAAAGTGTCTGCCCGATGGTTTCAATATAAGTTTGATACTTCGCTTGTATGATTTGTCGACTCCTTATGGTCGAAAAGATACTGCCAGAGATTTATGTCTGATGAGGAATATGCGCCTCAGACCTGATTAAGATGTATAATTATTTATAAGATAATTTTATTATGTAATCATTATTATTGTCGTAATTTTGTCATATTTCAATGGGTATATGAAAATATAATCTAATATTAAAATTAAAAATTGTAGTTTTATTGAATTATTTTTTGTTAAAGTAGGAAAGGAAAAATAAATCAAAACTCGAAGGTCGTAATAGTCTTTACTTCGTAAAACGCAACAAAATAGTGATCATAAATTAATACTAGATACTTCTCCTGTTACAAATTGTTGTTCCTGTTTTATATTTTACAAACTTATGACTATTTTGTACAATATTCTTAATTCTACCTATACTCCGACAATGGACGGAATTAGATAAATACATTACGTAATTTTACGGAGAAGAAAGAAATAGGGAAATGTGATGATTTTCTTCTATTAAATTTAGGTATTTTATTAAGTAAGGTCTTTATTACCTAATAAAGAGTAATTTTTGAAACTCTTAAATGATGACTATAACATCGTCGAAAGAACACTGAAAAATGGCTCGGAGTAAACAAAGTTTTGTAACGACTGCTTCTTATACAAACTTTGCGATCGTTACTTTTTTATATTCAAAGGCAGAAAGAGAAATTAGAGCGACGAGCTAAAACCAGACTAGCTATTGTTTTATTCAATAGGGATTTGCAACCTCCAGTTTGAACGGTACCAGAAGCAATATTGCGTTTGCGCATAATTTATGAATAGCACTGGGAATAAAAGGAGCTAGAAAATGGACGGCATCGATTTAGCAAAGCATGAACTAGTATTGGTTCTAGGTACATTACCTATAAATATTTACAAGAAATTATACATTTCATATACACACAAATCACATTGCATGTGAAAACTAATTACTTTCTAGCATACCATTACTTTGTACAGAATCCATGATACCGGACAATATTATGTATCTACAAACAATCTATAATTACACAAAAAATAATTATACACATAGATCACAGGAGAGTTCCAGAGCTTTTTCTAAAATTAATAAAATTTATTATTACAGGGTAACAAATTATTTAACTATTTAAAGAAATTACATGGAATTATACTACAGTTATAACGCAGGCTTTTTGGCATCCGGCGAATCTGAATGTGGTCGATCTAGAACAATAAGAAAAAGGGAACGTTAATATATTTTATTCTGATGTTTTATCTGGTGTAGGTAGTGCAGACGCATTGCTGCTGCGCATTTATCTTGCTTTATTTATGTATCTACAATCTCTGCACTTCGAAACAGATTCCAACTATCTTAAGATACGAAATATTGGTTCCAACAGTAGATACGATAACTAAAATTCTCATTCAATTCAAATGCAGTAACTTACCAATTTGCCTTCTAAGTACGTCTTCCCTAGATGCATTATACGCTGGCGGTGGATTACTGACCCTCATTGGTAAACTTAATCTATTAGGATTGGAGTTTTCATCTACCGAGTTCTCGGCGCTATTAGCGAACGTTGTCCTTTGGCCTATTCCACGTCTGTTGATAGGAACTTTCTGTGGTTATTGTGTTACATCTATTGTTAGTATGAGGAACATATTGCTCTGGTGACCAGTCGAATACGAAGGTGTGACTATAGTTGTGGGTGTAGGCTGTAGGTGTCCCGGACGGCGTAGGAGGCGTTGTCGTCACGTAAGGACTTAGGTCCTGGTGACAGACGTCAGGCACTTTTTGTAGCGCTGATTCTGACCACGTGGGACTCGGATTCCATTGGTCAACCATTTCGGTTTCTGTTATATTAAAATTTTTGGATCCCGGTCTTCTACTGGCAATGGATCCCGCTGAAACAGCTACTAATGTGTCGCCCCCTGAAGTGACAGTTGAAGGTGTACAACGTGGTGACATATTTGATATTGGCGTGTTTGATTTATCGTCTATACTTTTCCCTTTCCGCTTAGCATTAGGCTGGATCCTCGTATCCTCTATCCGTAAATTGTGGTATCTGAAATAGAAAACTAAAGTTACACATGCGGTATTGAAATCGGACTAACTGCGCAAGATCGTAACAAGTCAGAAAACAATTTCAAGATGAAGCTAATTTACATGCGCATTCCTTAAAACGACATATTTGATGGACAGCATGAGGTCATAGTGCAATTAACAAGATAATTTCTAGGTCATACCTGATATTTACCTAAACTCTGTGCTGTTAGATTAACTAACGATTTACTATTTCAAATTAATCGCGTTATGGCCATGAACGGTTTAATTCTATTTGCATAATTAACAATTGTTGGCCATCAAATTGGAAAGTAGAATATCTTACCTATTTTCCTGCAGCGAAACTGAATAATCGACGGGTCCATTGTCGGTTCTTTCGTAGGCGTAGTGCATGGGGGCTAAGTGTGGCGGAACATGTGGTATATGAGGTTGTATGCCAGGGTTGGGCATCATGACAGGTTGGGTGCCATTGATGCAGACTGGTGGAGTCGGCGTGTACTGCATTGCTGGAGGGTAGACTTGTATGTCTGGCGGCGGTGGCCCATACATCCTTGTAGCAGCTTCATACGCCAAACCGTAGTGCAGTTTGGATTGAACTGCGTAGTAGTGGTAGAGCCACGGATTGGCTTTCATGACTGCTGCTTCTTGTTCACTGTAGACAATAGGACAAAGTTAGACTAAATTGCCATTAAGTAAGGCTCAATTTGATAGATATACAAGAGTTAAATTGAGATCATTTTCAGTATCACATCTATGGCCTATCATAGTCCACTATTAGATTATGGACTTCCTCTACACGAGACCAGGTTGCTGGACTTTGCTATAAGAATATTTACCATTAAAATTAAAGAGGTTGGCGCTCGATATTTATCTAAGCATTATAAAGGCAATAATAGGTTGTTAAAGCGTAAGAAACCTTGAACTCGAAATAGATCGTACCTAAGTTATGAGCTCCGCAAACAATTAAAATAACTTTTAAATGGTGATTGCATATAACTGGAAAGAATTCGCGTTAGTCTCAACGACATTGTTACAAGCTTTAGCCATTACTATAATAGTAAAGAGGAGTATAAAGTTTAATGTTTATATTCAGTAGGTTTCGTTTCGCCATGCGTTACGAGCATCTATTAATTATGTATCGAAGTAGTTTAGGCGATATTCCATTACACTAATCGCTGATAACGCTAGCCTTATATTAGACTTGTAATGTGTTTAACAAGTCACTGTTGTTTAGCGGCCTTCCCACAAATACTTTAAATCGAGTTTGCTCTTTGAGATTTTCCGATAAAAGGACTGCATTTTCGAACAGCGACAATTTATCGCTTCTATTATAAAAGGGTTTTTGGTTAGCTGAAGTTAACTTCTACTAAAGATTTTGATGAAACTCTATTGTAAAATAAATTAACTATGTGTTATCTTAAATCGTTACGTCCTTAGATGAATGTATTGCTAATAAAATTAGTTAACAACAGCGTTCGTTACTAGTTAACAAATGATACGAACGTATGTTATCTACGTCACACATCTCCGATTGTCGACAAAATGAGGAACATTTAAACAAACGACATGTAGGTAATGACTGCGGGTAAGGCAAGGTGAATACACGGTATTGAATTTGTATTTAATGTAACCTTTCGCGCGAGTTCAGTTAACGTTTGTGTTGGCAACCTTTAAGATAGTGGATGCAGGGAAATGTCACATAGTTGGACTGAGCCCTGGACCTACACTGTACAGGTGGGTTGAAAATACTTCGAAGGAATAATACTGTGAGAATACTATCTGAAGTAATAGGCACCTTCAATGTTTGTTTGCTTAACTAACGTTGCATAGGTAAATATAAGGTTCAAATCATTATGTATGTGAGTGATTCACTAAGCAGTATGCACCTGACCGATGTTCAATGTTTTAAATTAGGTACGTATTTAATGTGTTGATTCTATGGCTTTTCTTATTTTAAAAGAGATTTTCGCATAAGGCATTATAAATTAAAAAAGGCAGAAAATAGCTTAATTTCTTTTTTCCTGGAGACAGATCCTTTTTTCCAGACACATTAATTTTATTTCAAACTGCTGTCGTTTAACTGACACCGACAGTACATCAAACTTAAGATATGTGTTGGACGGCGACAAATCGCTATTACATTCACTGTAAGTAAAGAGATACTGTTGTGAAGTATTCAGTACTTCAGCTTCAGAACCAAAAGGGCGTTTGGATAAAACGTTATTCCTATGTTTACACGCGTTCTGCATTAATAAACTTGACCCTTACGACTTTAAGTGATTTATAGCTAGCTTGTGTTAACATTTTATTTATGCTAAAAGCCTTACTGAACGCTTCGAAGATATCGCAGGAACAGTAGGTAACTTATGCACATTAGATGCCATTAATTTTATTCTCATTTGTATAATAAGTTGTTTCATATTATTTAGTGTTTTGAACATCCGACTTGAGTTGAGGTGTTAGGGAGATACATGTTAATGTTTGTGGAGGTGGCGCAGAAGACATGCTTTAAGATTTGACTGCGAAAACATAAGTTGAGGTTATTTTAAGTTGGACGTCCTTTTTATTTGTTGTTAGTCATTTTGGTTATGACGTGCGTACAAAAATGATTCACGAGCTTTATCATCGTAAGTTTAAACACGTAGTTGGTTAATTATGTCAATGTAAATCTGCCAACGTCTATATAATGCGTAGAACCATTTAACCAAGATCCTTTAAAGATAATTTTCAAGGTTCAGGCATTCTAGTTAGACTTTTTTATATTGTCTACATAATCCGGTGCTTGTTATGCATAACCGAGTTAATGGAATGTTGGAAATCAGCGTATCCGTCCATGTTCTCAGTTTCCCGCCAATTTGTGCGTCCGCGCAGCCTGAACGCATAAATCTCGGCGACATGACGTAGGCGGCCGACATGTTGACAATTTGTTGTCGTTCACCGTATCACTTGTACATGCCATAGGTGTGTATAAACGAGCGTTAAATTACTTACTCGGTTTATTTCAATATTGAAATTTAATTTGAGGATTTGTATAGGACTGTGAATCTTTACAACAACTACTACATTTATAATCTGTTAAACAAACGAATTCAAGTTCAAAGAGGTGAATTAAAGGTTGGTTCACAAGCTTTTTTATGACTTGGAATTTTCAGCCACTACGAAATGTTGTGGTTGCCGATAATGCAGCTAGAAAATAAAGCTCGAGACGCCATTAAATCAGTTATTCACGTAAGCCGGGCTCATTATTAAAAGCAACAGTATTTGTCAGTGGAGAGCACGAAGTAACATGAGTAGGTTGCGCAAGAGCATCAGCGCAGAAACGTGACAAATGACGCAATCCCGCGAACAATGCAACTGAGCTTGTGAGCACAGCGGATTTATAGCCACCACCGTACAACATTTGGTGCAATTTGTAAAGTGGAGCGGTAGTGTTTACCGTGCTAAAGTCAAAATTCTACCTAAAACTAATATTAGTTAAGTAAATCATAACAACACCCAAAAAGAGTACCTACTACTTGTCTACTTAGAAGCAAAGAGATCGTACACATATCCTTAGCTTCAATTATGTTACAAGTTTTTACTTATAACCTCATTGTTTAGCTTCTTAGCCATTGTTATATAGTCTTTTGTCATATCTACTCAGAGAATAACTTAGGTTTTCAAACGTAGGACCTAAGTTAAACCAATTTGTTTACCCGTCTAGTTAATTGCTTGAAAGCCAAAGCTCTTAGAATTTCATAACGTGCATTTTGAGGTAACTACGGACAAAATTAAGGCTTTTAACGGTAAATGGTTCTCAGGTGTTATTATCGCCTGAATGTCTGCTTATGACATGCACCGTTCTCTTCCAAGACCTAAGTGGCTAAGGACTGCGCCACCGCCCTTTGTGCCTGATTGTTTAGGTCAGCTGGACTGTCACCCACTCGCCCATTCAAATTAATTTAGATTTACTATCTAAATAGCGCCTACCACGACTAATATGAATCGGTCTTGTCACTGTAGGCCGAGCCATAATGACTTTGTTCGCGCCGATTATTATCTAGATGCCTAATCCGGATTGTGAATAGTGTTGAATTTAATGTTTAGGAAAGTGTTAAGTCGACGTTATCTTAATTACGCCTTTAATGGCCCTTAAGCACAAGGAGTTCCTAGGGAAATGTTTTGCATTGTTGTAGAATCTCTTCTAGCAGCTGCGCGCTTTTTGTTGCAATCCTCAGTCCGCTTATCTACAGTACTAAGTGATTGATGATAGAAGGTAGATCGTACTCCAGAATTTCAGTAAGACAATAATACTTACAAAATTACTTTCTAAACAAAAGTTTATTCATACCAATCGAGCCATACATCTCGAACAAATTTACAAAATTAGCAGCAGTTTTCGTGTATTTTCGTGCTATAAAATATAGGCGGTTGTATCCGCCGGGTCCATCGATCAAACCCGGCGCTTGTTAAACACCGTTTCTCACATCACAACAATAGCCCTTTGCAGGCATATTTCAAGCCATCCCGATAGTAACATCGGCCAGCCGATCGGCTTGCGAGGCTCGCCCCGGCTCTATAAATCACCCCCTTACAATATTTATTCTCTGTAAAGCTTCACTACGAACTCTAGATGTTCGATCGAGTTTTAACACTCGATTGCATAGAACAGAAGAGATAAATATTCGCAATAGAGCTTAGGAAATGATCGCGGGAGATCAAAAGCTAGTCTGAACTGATGAACTACGTTCTGATTTATTTAATAAGGGAACTCGAAAAACAATAGACGTGCTGGGTTTTGACCTACGCTTTGGCTTTGACCTTATATTTCAACTGGCTCTTATATTCTACAGTTGTAATGAAAGTTTGTTACATATTTCCTTAACCGATTAGAAACATCTGAAAGCATTCAGCGAAAGTTGTCTCGGTATCGGTGTACGCAAACTGTCACTGGAGCATGTGTGATCGTTAAATCTAATTTATTGCTGCTGAAAGTGGTTGCAAACTGTATTAGATTCGAGGACAGCCATGTTGAAATCGACATACGAGCAAAAAATCAAAGAATAGACCAAATAACGAGTGCTCTGAATGAAAATGATTACGTAGTGTATCATTAGAAGAAGTCAAATATAGGTTACTTCAATCAAGACAAGTAAACAAAATGAAACATAATTGGCCTTCTAAAATTGCTAGACTATGATTGTGACTATTAACGCCAATTAACAAGGCATAGAAAAGTTATGGTTGGCACATGAGTGGAATTTATAATGGATTGTCTTCCTATTTAGAAAACATGACTGTGTATGTACAACTTTATTTCATTAATTGGATAGCGTCTGTGTCTAAGTTTCGCAATATATTATGTAGCTTGAACAATTGTTGTATTTTTAAAGAACACCTTTTTAGCTGTTTTGCGAATATTGCCAGCTGAAGGAGCCAGGTGCCAAGTGGATCTGGTCTCAATGCTCCATTAAGTTCCTGACTGTCTAACTAATTGTCTATCCAGCACCAATTAGTCACCCAAAATTTGAATGTCCCAACTTAACACTACCTTCTTTAATCGCCATAAAAACCTTAGCAACAACAATCGAGTTTGCATCAACAATAGTAAGGGCCGTGTTTACGCGAGAGGCGTACGTCGTACGACGTCATCTAGTATTGATATCTCAATAGGGAAGTCTGTAAGTGACCGCGTTAAGTTATGACCGTAATTTTTCAAAGTCGGCGCACCGTGGGCCGGCGGAATTATCGGTTCGGTTAATGTGGCTTTGGGCTCAATTAGTTTGCGAGCTTTACTTTCTGAAATACGTAGAGTTATTGTTCTTGGAAATTTTTAATATAGTTTTTTAGTATCGTTGTGTTGTTTGAGATTTTTATATTCTTGGGTTATCATGTTTGAAATGAGATTGGTTTAAGACAGGAGACTTGTTGAGATAATAATTATGTTCTATTAAGGTATGTCAGAATTAGTAATAGGATTGTTGATTAAATTATCATCACAAGCTGATTTAGTGTTGTATGAACCACATATATTATTAAAATAACACAATCATTCATTTTTAAAGACGTAAGCATTCAAAATGGAAATACTGGTACTGGTTCTAGAATTAGATTCAAAAGACTACTAATACTTAACTAGGTGGCAATATCAGATATTATTAAAGTTTCCTCATAGACTTCAACAATTGCTATAAATAAGCATTTACAAGGTAATTCACGTCACTACTCCTAGACTCCTAGTCATACCACCATCAGATTTATTACTCAAACACATTCTATAAAAGGAAATATAGCACGTTGCATCTTGGAATTTAAAAAATGTTGTCAAGATGGACGCAAACATGCCTTGTAAAATTATCTCCAATTATGGTTTAATTCATAATTACGAAGTTGGATCGCACGGCAGTAAACATAATTGGTTGTTGCTTGAACACCGGTATTTTAACGATAAATATCGTAGCTTTTAGTATTTGGTTTACATGATATTGTTTGATAGAAAGGTTTAATTTGATGCGTGGATTGATAAGTTTGACGGTTAGAGAAATTGATGTTTAGTTTAGTGAGTGGATTAAGGGAAGTCTTTTATAGAACAAGTTGTGCTCCTGGAAATGTATGACACAAGGCTGTTTCACTTTGCCTATGAAATAATAGAGGTTGTAGAGGAATTGGTAAATGGAATAAGTACTGATTTCTCATGTTAAAAAGAACGCCTATAAAGTAACTAATTTAAATTACAATTTTGGATATTACATTGACGACATTTTTTATGGGACAAACCAGTAATCGAGCAGACGGAATAACTGATAGTAAGCAATTGGCGTTGCACATGGACTCTCGGAACACCAGAGGCATTACAAGTGCGTTACCGGCCTTTTGGGGATTAGGAATTTGAGTGTTGGGGATTCCGGGATTGGGGAGATTGGTAATGGAAAGATTGGGTCCCTACTAATCGTGCCGAAGCATGGCACTGCCACATTTAAAATATATCATAATAGTAACCAAAAAGGCTCTCAAATTTCGTTTTTTTTTTCAATTTTGACAGTGAATTACTCCATTTCTTACCTACTCTTCGGACATACAATTTAAGTTATTCTGTGATACAATTTATTTGTGTAAGTCTACAAACACTAAATGTAATTTAAGCCGCTTTATATTAAACCGCGATATTTCTTACTTTACTGCTTTATTCAAGTGTTTGCGTTTACTTGAGCTTTTGACGTTTATTAATGTATTATGTAATTATTGCTGTACACTATATTTAGGTAAGACGGTTAGTAAGTAGGTAGGTAGGTATATAACTCTTGTTACATAGTTCTATATCTGGTCAGTCTTCGAGTATTAGTTAATTTTTAGGTAAACCGGAATTTTTTTTTCAAATTCAAATTCAAATTCTTTATTGCGTTCCACAATGTTTTACTTAGGTGGTAACATAGAATAACACAGATCATTGTGGACCCTGTCGGGCACAGCAAGGAAATATATAATTTTAATACAAAAAAACAATTTGTATTAAAATTTGAAATTATGACGCTCCCTTTTGAATATTTTCAAGGGATAATTTTACTTGAATATTAAAGACACATATCTACTCAAATGCTTGTAGGTAAAATGGCTGGTTTTATAAATGTCATAATAATCAATAGACTTGGGTAAATTTTATATGTAGAAACTAATAGTGAAAAGTGGATGTAACTGTTAACCTTTACAGGAATAACAGGCGTGTGTGATATTTACTTCAATAGGTCACAAAAACATGAATTTAATTAATTATTGACATAACCCTAATCGTCTATGGCAAGTCCAACACTGATACTTAATTATGAAACATATAATTTAATAATTCTAATAACAACTGCCTTAACATGATTGGTTGGACTAGTAATTATTTGTAATACTACAGTCAAATAGTAATGCGAATGGATAAATCGCTTGAAGAAATATTAAAGGGCAATAATTTTCCAATGATTGCTATGTGCCTCACCCAATGGACCTGTGAGGTGACTTATTATTAGTATGATACCCTCAAGAAATATTAGTTGTAATTGATATTAAGTTCAGAATTTCTAGTCGTGAGTATTGAATTAATTTATTTTGTTATATATATTATATTATATAAAAGTATGACTATACATTTTTTTGTTTAAAGGGGGTAAATCATCGAATGACTTCTCGGGAATGAAGGAGGGAGTGTCAGACTCTGACTGACTAAAAACCACCCCGTTCCTACTCCTGCCCTTCGAGCCGTAGCCCCGGCAACCCGTTAAGTCCTCTGCAGCTCCGTATCGGCATCAGTCCTATTGGGCCTATTGCCATATACCGGGCCCAAATCCATACTACGAGCTACTACCGAGAACTTTTTAAAAAACCCAGTAATACTTTGCCCCACCCGCGAATCGAACCCAAGACCCCTTGACCGGCAGTAACAGTTGCGATCACACGACCAATGAGGCAGTGTACTTATAGTAAAGTTTAAACCTATCTATTTATAGTAAAGTTTACTGTAAACGGTCGGTCGCCCATTCCCAATGCTTAAATCCCAAATCCTTCATCCTCAAAAGGCCGATACTGCATTTGTAACCTTAGGTATTGCTCGTGCTCATAGGCGGCGTTGATTGCTTATTAACAGGAGGATCTATTGGTAAACGAGCACTTTCATCTACCTATTCCATTAAAACGTATGTGAATACTTCTACTCACCTTAACACCTGGTTAGTGCACACGATGACAGGTCGCTGTGAGTTCTCTAAGTTGTCCTTGAGCTGTAACACAGCATGTACCCAGAGGAACTGCCCAGAGCGGCGCTGCAGTCGAAGCAAGGCGATGCAGGAACGCTCCTGTTCTGATTGCGTTACTGTGAAAGAAAGAAGAAAGTTGATATTTAGATAAAGTTTGTTGTTACGAGACTTTTTATTAGAGAATTATTAATGTATTGACATACGAAAATTGACAAAAATTAATGTGCTAATGTAATATTTAGGTTATAATTATTGAACGCCATTTCCAAAATTTACAAAGTTAAGTTTACTGATTAATTCATTTTTTTGTCCTGTGATAGGTAAGCCCAAACTACACAGGACTTCTTAAGACAAATTTCAAAGATATTGTGATAGTTATATCCTAAAAGTAGCGAACCTAATATGGTACTCTTTGAACTTGCAGCTATTATTTCACATTCTTTTTATCACAATTAAACATTATTTAGGGGACCTATAGCTACATATGTAGTTATCTGCCTACCCAGTCAAGGAAGCACAAGTCATGTCATGGTAACAAAAAAAAATCCTGAAAAAAATTAGATCCTGCATATTAATAATTGTCTCTATGCAAATTTTTTTGTTCACAGATTATGTTCCGTACATAGAACATTTTTTATATCGAACATCGTCTCATCACTACTAAATAATTGATACTTGTTAGCCTTTTTTGTCGAACAATAAAGTACTTGATATAGTTTTTATGTACACTTTGTAAATAACATAACACTTTGTAGTTATTAAAAGGTACAATGTATATGATATATAGTGTGTTATAAAAACATTGACGGTTTTTGTTTGGTACAGATGTGGTATAATCCAAGTTAAGAGATGTCCTGCTGTTGGCTTCTTAAATTAAGTATTAATCAAAATTTTATTCTAGAGACAATGAGATCTTTTTTCAGTAGAGGGCGTCAGTGAGACGTAGAAGGACCACCTTTTCTTTAAAGACTGTAGTTGTTAAACTCTAATACGAAGCATTATGAACATTCATATATTGACAAAATTAAAAATAACAGGGTCTAGAAAATCCAGTACCTCTGATTTGAATGTGTGTTCTTATCTATAACACAAGTCAAACAAACCGGTTATTAGAAATTATAAATACACAAATGCACAATCACAATCTCGGTGTGAATAGTTATAATTGAATAGCCCTAAAATTAGAACGTCGTTAATATAAAGATTATCGAGGTGCGGCTCACATAGGGACTCACACACACAATAGTCTTAAGACACGTTCTAATCACATTCAAATATTAACTTTGATACTTTTAGATAGGGTTCTTATTTCTGTGACTGTAATCAAACATAATACAAGGTGTTTGCCTTTGACAATGATGTTATGATAGTAATTTACATGCGCCAGGAATGGTCTTCCGATCATACGAATCGCCGTAAAAGGTATTCGATTCTAACGTCCATCGAATCGTCATAAATGGTTACTCGTTTTGTTTGTCGATCATTCGGAGATAAATCGATTCTCGATTCGTATGACCGATGTTTACGCAATCAATTTGTTGTGTTTATCGATACCTAACGATGCTAATATGAGTTGTGATCATCGCTAGTTAGTTTTATTTGTTTATAGTTACTGTAGCGTTTTATTATGTTTGAGCTTTCTCTTATAAAGTGATTCGATGTTATTATTTATAGCTAAACGATTGTAAGTATCGATTATCGTTTATTGGTATTTAATCGGCGAGCCCTTTTTATAGTTTTGAAATATAAATGGACGTTTTTAAATTGAGCACGATTTACTTAAATAGGTGTGTTTAGAAACGACTAAGATTGTTATTGCTTTTACATTTTCTGCTGCAATAAACAGTTGGTTGCCTTTTTATTACTTCTAGTTAAACATTAAATTCAATGCACAGTGTAAAATCTGTCTATGATTTAGCTTTTGCGTTATTTAAGGTAGTAGTAGTTACGCAAAATTCGTATCAAAATTAAAAATCGAATTAGTACGTCGGTTAGATAATGAAAAAATATTAGATACGTATTTTTTATTTTCTCGTATTAAGCTGCAATACTTAGATAAAATAGCGCTAAGTTTAGGAGTGGGAAGTTGTTAGGTCATAACATGCTACAAAATGTGACACGCGGTGACGTCACACCATATTTCAAATGAATATATCGTCGAAAGTATTTAATTTTGTGAGAAAATAAAAAATACGTTTCTAAAGTTTTAAATTACTGTATCTGGTACAGTTATTTTCGGACATTAAAATAAAATTTAGGAAACTACCCTATTGTTCTATTTTCCAAAAAAATGTGGTATTACAGGTTCTGGAATTATGTCGGGTACCTACCTGTATAAAGGCTTATCTTCTAATACATAGGATTTATAATAATTGGTGACAAATCATTATTTAAACTACATTTTTGTTATGTATATATACGTATATTAAAGTTAAATAGAGTTAAATATCTAATTTACAATTCTTTAATTAAACCTCATATAGATTATCTCATTGAAATTTGGGGCACTGCATGCAAAACTAACGTAGATCAAATTCAACGAATTCAGAACAGATTAATCAAAACCCTATTTAATTATAAATATCGGACACCTACTGAAAAATTATACCAGAACACAAGGTTAATGAATATAAAACAAACATATGTATACTACACATGTATTTTAATACGTAAAATATTAAATAAGGAAATCCATTCAAACTTAATTTTTTTAACAAAACAGCAAACACGTAAAATAAATCTTAGACGTGCGAGTTACTTAGTAACCCGTCCCCCTAGAACTAACTATGGAAAAAGAAGTCTGGAGTTCGAAGGTATTAAATTATACAATAGACTACCATCAATGATAAGGCAAGAAAAAAGTTATGTGCGGTTCAAAAAATTACTTAAAATTAATATAATTAATAACTACAAATTATGAATACTTGTAAGTATAATTAAAATATTGACTAGTGTTTACTCCTAATAACGTAAAAGGCAAATTCTAAATAGTTTAAATTAAATACCAAGTACAATAGTAAAATAAAACAAGTACGTATAAGACGTATAAACTATGCCATCAATGCCACATCTAGTAAAAATAGTTCATGTATCAAGTCATTGATTAACTTATTGGTTTACCCACATTTACTTCATATTTTTGTTATAGTTTACTGGTCTGCCCGTGTTGCTTGATTCTGTTATTTGTGTATATTTATCACTTTACTCACATTTTTAAATAGTGAACATTTGTATTTGTTCTTTTGTATTGTTTTTGTTTATATTATTATGCACGTACTACTGTGCGCTCTAAATTGTTTACTTTTGTATGAAATATTGTTTCTCAGTAAGTGAATTATGTAAATGATTCTTTATGAGAAATAAAGATATTCTAAACTAAAAATATTATATATGTATAGTATGTATGCAAGTATGTAAGTATTACATGAAATAACCACGACTGAATTAGGTTACAGTCTAAACCGAATACTATTTATTATTTAATACAGTACAAAGATATTTATTGTTTATTTTATTATCGTGAGTACACCGTATTTGGCTATCGATTTTACCGATTATTGCGAATATTCATTAGACCGTGGGATACTTATTCAAATATCCTGATAGTCTTTAAATATACAAGGAGTTTATTAATACTACCTCTAGTGTCTATTAAAATTATATTAAAACCATTTATTGTTTTTACATAATTGACTAGGTAAATAGCCAATTGAATTATGTGTTTGGATACTGCTGTATAATATACAGTATGATTATTATTAATGATTATTTGTTTTAATTTATTATTTATTTTATTACTTACAATTTCGATGTTTTAATGCATAATTTATTAACTAGTTGCTTGATTGTAATTGTCGCAAGAGCAACTGCTGAAGAAGGAGTTTGATTCATGGGTCTCATGTTCATAAGTTTTACAAAACTTATCAGTAATAGCATGAGTCTGAAACTATGTTACCGACCATAGGGTCACGATAAATAGGTACTGCATACATGTACTCTCTGCCTTTTGAGTTCAAAAGATGTGACTTTATGTACATACTGGCTTCGGCCCGCAGCTTTGCTAGCATTTCAGTGGGATAAAAAGTAGCCTGATGTGATACCAGACCACAATCGACCTTTGTTCCAAATTTTATCCCAATCCCTTCTGCTGTTTTGATGTGGCCGAGTAACAAACATACAAACAAACACACAAATTTACAAACTTTTGTATTTATAATTTTAATAAGATGTATTTATTAACTGATAATCTAATAGCCTCACTAGTCGAACAGCAGCTGTAGCTAAATGCCTTTTAGCGCTTGTCTACTTGTAGAATAGAAAACCAAATTATATGGGTTTGATGTAAATTTTGACACTCGTCAGTGTCATCCCCATACATTTTGATTTCTACTCTCTCTGTAGACAAGCGCTAAAGTGGCGTTTGGCTAAAGGCACAGGTGTAAGCCCGACTTTCAAGCGTAATGTCTTGCCCACCCTAAATTAAAGTTGAAATCATCCTATATATTATTTGATTTACTCACAAAGATCCGGTAAGAACAGAGGAGACATAGACACCAGAATAATTTATTTATTAGTATTAATTTATTACTTATTTATCAACAATTATTTGAATAATTAATTCATTGTGCTACCTCCATTGGATCCGTGTTGAGGTAGTGACATCTTAAAAGTAATGAATATAAAATACTGGGGGCTTTTTTACTGGGTATTGCAAACTATATTTATGTTTCCATGGAAATGCTAAACATACAGGGTGGATTTTTTTAATGCCGCCTGAAGTGGAAACTTTTAATACTTCAAGTGCTTTAACCATTGAAGTAATAATTTAAGATTACATTATTTTCTTTTCATGCAATTTATGAAGTTTGTTAAAGAAATTTCATTGACCTTAACGATCGATGCAATAAAAGTACAGGATGCAACTTTTACAGATTTTAGTCGGTTCAATAAAGGTGAGCGGCAAGCGAGTTTTTAAAAATATTTGAATTTTCTTTCTTTTCAAAACTAAAGGAATATTTTCTATCTAAAGTATTAAGAGTACTTCCCCTTCAGGTGGCATTGCAAAATTTCACCCTGTATAGTAATTATGTACATAATCTCACCTCTTGTATACTTTTTTTAGCTTCCAACACATTCAAATATGCCAGTAAGGTAAAGGTACTCAAGATCTAATTTTCAACCAAGAAAAATCACAGAGCGAAAACCATGAAGGAAATCAATTTTCCACAAATATTTCACATGAGTGCCTATTAGATTCTAGTTATAGAACATGAAGTTCGGTGCAGTCAGTTATAATATAACTGACTGCACCTATATTATAGTTAATTAACCACCTATCATGTAACAGTTGACAAGGCAGTAAAATCAATCGACGTATTGACAAAGCTCTAAATCATCTGTCATTACGCACGATTTCAATTAAATATCTATTGTAGTTGTGATTCGCATTCCTTGTATATTCAAATAAATTGCCGTTTTGATAATATATGGAGAAGGACGGTGTTTTGGTGTGGTTTAGCTCCTTAATATGAAATTGAAAGAAACCAAAGAATTGCTTTATATATACATAAATGCGGTTAAATAGGGTTTCTGTCTATCCTCATGAGTCATATATGTGAGTTGTATATTTAACATATAAGATACTTAGATTATAAGATACTTACCTGTGTTTTTAAATAAAATTAATAAAAAAAATATATGCATGGTATTTTTAGACACATTAAAATTAGTACCAATATAAAACAACAATACAATTTGAAGTATCAATAACAAAAACTAATAATAAAAAGCAATCAAAGCAGTTACCGCTAAACCAAAGCCAATATAACCCAAAGGTCACCGCACAAGCCGAGCCGTCCTTGTCATTACCGATTATCGAATCATTCGAATGATGACTCGACTACGATGCATTGCCAAGTACGATTCCGATTCAACAAAGATCGTTACTCTATTCTGTCATTCGAATATACATCTTATGTCGTCGTGTCAGTTGAATTATTTCGAATTTCGAAGTAAGGATGTACGTTTGTAGGAGAGTAATGAGGGTTAATGCCAGCCGATCATTTGTGTAATCTCGACTGTTGGTTTTAGAGGAAGAGATTGACGACTGTTGCGATTGTAGGTCGACAAACTGCCCGTGTGTTTACTCCCCGGTATGTATGGGTAAAGTGGGTTTGATTTGCGAGCTGTATTCAGAGCTCTGCCTACGCGCACCTTAACGAATGACATAATGATATGAATGTAAATTGTAGTAATTAATTCTCATTCTAACTAGAAATAGGCGTAGATTTAGATTAAACGTTCGACACGTAAGTTATGAGCTTCGTATTTCAGTCAACTGATGTTTTGAGAGTATAATGTTTCAGTTTATATTAAGAATCTATTTTGAAGTAAATTGCATTTTCGATGGCCACGACATATTTAAAGTCTAGATTTTATGGACTGTGTTATCTAAAGATGGCTGTAAATTGATGATTTTATTATAATGTCGATACTTTATTATCCCGCACCTCTATTTGTCTGACATTTGACTTATGAACATCTTAGCGCGAATCCTCAGAAAGTGTTCCAATTTCGGATTTACCAAGTTTGCGTCAAGCGCGAAGTCACGAGTTTTGCGCGAGATTTTGAAAACAGAACACTGTATTGCACACATAGGGTTGGGAATCGCTGAGTAATATTTAGTCGAGTGCTCGATTTAGTCGATATAATCGCTCACGTAAGGGAAGGTTCACACACGATCGTCACGTCGCTGTCGCGTCAAGTCGACGGTCGACTTTCTCTAACGTGTGTGTTGACGCAGATAAGTTTGTGTTAAACGCTTTTGTGTTGTCGTAGGTTATCGAGCAATCGCACGCAATGTGCCAGATAGTCGATTGTCATCTTTTCGCAACATTGGTTTTTGGTGCCTGCCTAAACACTTGGCCCACTTGTCAAAATCGTTGTTTAAAATATTGTTCTAAGAGATATCGTACAATATTAAAGTGTTTGAGAACTTTATTATCCAATGCCCTCAGGGTGACAGCTAATCTCCGTCTGAGTTTGTTTAAAGAACAACATTGTTAAGTTCTATGACATTACGACTAAAAGTTTGACAGAGTACTTATCAGTATAAAGATTTTATAACCACAATAAACTTCGTCTAAAAATATTTGTGCTGACACGATTTTGCGACATACGACTATCATTTAGTCATGAAAAGTTACGTATTTAGTTAGTATTTAGCCAGTCACGTTGAGAAAGTAGTTATTAATCTAGTCATATTTAAGAGTTCCCACGGTTTTGGACTGAGACACTGGAGATGCTGTATATACGTCATTAATCACAAACAATGCTCAGACGCAGTCGTTTAGACAACTATTAAACCGCGCAATTTACAGCGAGATTGACGGGTCTAGTTTGCGCACGAGTTTATGTTATGGAATTAAGTTAGGAGTACGATATGTATTTTGATGATTGTGTTTGTAATGGCTTTTTATTGTGGCGTGTTACGTGTGTGTAACTAGATGTACAAGGGACGACAGACGATAAGAATTGTCGTAGTGCTAACGTCTTTGTTTACCTCATATAGGACAAGAGGTACAATATTGAGTTTCACGTATGTAAGGAATGCATAACTACACTTATGTTACTGGAACGGTTATTTTCAAATATTCCGTCCGGCTTTTAAAGGTGACGTCCTAATGTACTAGCCATTCAGCGCATACTATGATGAAATGTTTACCACTTAGCTTGTTTTTATTAGACTTATTTAATATGAAATTGATCCACCGCGAAAACCATTTTTGTATTGTATTGTTTTCAATCACTGTTAAGCTAAAATATTAAAGAAGGTAGCTACTGAATATTTTTACACAAAAATACTTACTTAACCGATGTTTACTCTGCGCTTCCTTGCAGCAGTCAGGATGCAGTAGATGGTACCAGCTGACGCCGTGCAGCGAACTTCTCTCCCAGCCCAAATGCCACTCACTACTGGACAAACAAAAAACGTATTATTAATATTAGCATTTAAATAGGTAAATGTTTAGATGAAGTCCTCGCTATAGTATAGTTTGGATTGCAGTTATTGTAAGAACGACTTATAAATATAATACATGGCTCTAAGATCGTTTCCACCAAATAAAAGAAGGGGTTCCATTTCAAGAAGAAGCAAAATGTTTCCATAATACATTTCTTTTTCTTTTTTTTGAATGATACGTTGCCGCACACTAGGATTTTATCCTATGTCGTGGGTGCGTTTACAAACATACAATTTCACATACACATGACACCCACACCCGGAACAACAATCTGTGGATCATACAAAGAGTTGTTCCGTGCGGGAATCGAACTCGCGACACGTTGCGCGGTATCCAATTGATAAGCCACCGTGCCAACCGTTTAGTCTTGTGAATGGTGCATGGCAAATCTGAAGGATGTAGTGACAGTGCACTAATGGACTGACTAGGGCTGTTGATTCCATGTTAGACGGCCAAAAATATGTTATAATAGGGTAGTTTCCTAAATTTTATTTTAATGTCCGTCTGGTAGATTATTTTAAAACATTAGACACGTATTTTTTCTTTTCTCACAAAATTATATGCTTTCGACCATATAGTGATTTGAAATGTCGTGTGACGTCACAGCGTGCTACAAAATGTAGCACGTTGTGACTTCCCACTCCTAAACTTAACTCCATTTTTTCTAAATATTGTAACTTTAGTAAAAAAATACGTGTCTAATATTTTTTCATTATCTAAATGACGGACTAATTCGTTTTTAATTTTCTTAACCTGGAAACTACCCTATTACCTATGGTCTAGAGAGCCCTAGTATATTTCCAAAACGCTTACGCGTGAATAATGAAAGGCTATACTCAATTTTAAGTTGTGCTTAAATATCGTGCCATCTCTGTCACTTTACAAAGAATTAATAGTGACAGAACTAAGCTTAAGTGCGAATTAAAATGAAGTGGCATTTGAGTATTTCAGCGCAAGAGGCATGTAACCCAGGAAGGAAGTACAGACTAAAATTAAATAAAAATGAGCTTAATTTCAAGGCAAATAAAACACAAAACATTAATTAATCTGAAATCAGACCAGTACCTATTTGAGACTATTATGCAAACATTATGGAACAAGAATCGAAACAACTATTGTAACGATCAAGGTTCGAATGATTGATGAATGAGATGACCCTAACTGATTGTGTTGTTCCAAGTTCATATTCATTTTACTTTTAATCGGTTTTCATTTGGTAATTTTTAGTTTCATTGTGTCTTTTAATTGCTGTTAATTCATTAATTATATGAACCAGGGGTTTCCAACCTTTCCATGGACCACTTTTTTATCATTCTTATCAGGATAAGGAGTACTGTTTTCAAGTGGTTCCACATTAAAAGATTCTCCAAAGTCATGGGGTTTGTTCTCATAAAAAAGTGATTCTTAGACAATTAAATTCGGTTGCTCCTTTTTTTAACCGACTTCAAAAAAGGAGGAGGTTTTCAATTCGACCGTATATATGCTTTTTTTTATTTGTATGGGATAAGCCGGTAAACGAGCACACAGATCACCTGATGGTAAGCAATCGGCGTCGCCCATGAACACACTCAACACCAGAGGCGTTACAAGTGGGTTAGTTTTTTCTTCTCCTCTTATAATATCTTCTGATTCATTTCGTTGCGGGAACCAAGACAGTTACTCATGTCCCTGGGACGCGCCGGACTTCAGTGTTCCGGTGTTTTCATGGTTGTATCTACTGTAGATCCTGGCGTACAGGAGTTGCAGCGGTTTTGGGAGGTTGTGGCGGGCTTGTCCCAATAAAAAAAAAATGGGTTACCGGCCTTCTGGATTAGGAAATTGATGATTGTTGAGGATTCAGGGATTGGGGAAAGGGGGGGGGGGGGTAATTCGGCCTTCTGTAACCTCACTCACACGACGATGCTCCTTCGGAACATAAGATTAAATCGAGCTTTATCTTCTGCATTGGTGGCCCAAGAACCGCTGGCTGGGAACCACCTCTGGGTTGGGAACCAACCATTGGTGCCTTTGTGGTTTGTGTCTACATATATAGGACATAACAGTTTTTAAATTCATCAGCCTTTCTTGAGTCTTACTAGTTGTGTAGCAGAAATCACCTATAACTATTTATTGGGATACAAAAAAAAAACATTTTATGCACATATTATGGATATCTTCATTAATATCTCTAATAGTAGTTTATTTTAATTTTTTTAGGGCATAAGTCGGTTAACGAGCAAACGGATCACCTGATGGTAAGCAATCAGCATCGCCCATGGACACCTGGAATACCAGAGGCGTTACAGGTGCGTTACCGGCTTTTTGCGGATTAGGAGTTTGAGGATCGTTGGGGATTCAGGGATTGGGGAGATTGGGGAAGGGGAGGGTAGTTATGAGTTTATGCACACCACACAGACAGTACACAGAAGGCCCTAATACATATATATGTATAGATCGGAGGTACATAGGTACTGCATATTCCTGTAGGAATTATTAGTTATTTCATATTGAAAATATCGAAACGGCTAAAAATTAAAAAATGCTTTTAACAAAAGGATCTCTCGTTGTTGAGTGGTTGCTAAAGGTGGCTGTCAAACAAGTGGTCTCGAGTTCAATTTATACATACTAATATTATCCTACTATAAATAACAAGTTGTTTTACTATGTCTACATAATATTATGGAACTATACACCTTAGTACCTATAAGAAAAAAATCTAATATTGTTTTTTGTTAAGCTCTTTAAACTTGACCTCAGATCAGACACACTTGAGCTCGACAGTAGCTATTGGCTCATATACAAACAGACAAAACAATATTCTAATAATATTTATTTTCTTTACGAATATAATTCTCTTCAAAATTACAAGTGGATTGTCCACTGTTTTATCTCAAAAATAGTATTTTAATCTAATTCAACTGTAATATGAATCTTATTGCCTTGTAATAAGAGTTAGTTATTCGATGTGTTGATAGTAATCGATATTGCTATATTTACTTTTCTCTTATTAACTATTGGAAGTTGAGAGTTGTCTTTCGATGTGGGTCATTGACAATAATTTCAAGTGGTAATTATAAACATAACATCATAATACATTAATATTATTCTTGTATTTGTCTAGAGGGGTAAGCAGATGTCATCTACTATACTATGTACAGAAAGATATAAAACTTATCTTACTCGTGTAGCAGGTAATTACTTCGAGTAACTAAACACTCGGAATATCTAAAAGCATTCGTTTCTACTAAAAAATTTGCCATGATGATGATGATGATCATGGTTACTAAGCCTCGTTGTCTGTGCACTCAACAGTCGGGTTTACAGCCACTACCACTATTATATGAGGCGCAATAATATACTGGTCTGGCTGGAGGAGAATGCCCATGGCATTAAGCCCACCTTGTACATTAGTGTGGGCATGGAGCCATTTAAAATAAAATAAATATACCAGTAAATAGGGAACTAAACTTATCTTAAACTAATATTGGGTCTGTCATTTGTTACAACAGCTGTCGATTCAATATTGTGATAATAAAGTAATTAGCTTAGATTTGCATGAAAGTAAAAGTACAGATTTAGATTGTTTTGGAGCAAATGGTTTCAGTTATCATAGACTGCTATTACCTTAGTCAGACCTATCAAACATAGGGAGAAAACATAAACACACACATAATATTTTATAATAGAATCAAATTATATTGACTGCACGGTTGGCGAGGTGGCTGGGCAACTGGCTGCCGCGAAACGTGTCGCGGGTTCGATTCCCTCACGGAACATTTCTTTGTGGGATCCACAGATTGTTGTTACGGGTCTGGGTGTCATGTGTATGTGAAATTGCATGTTTGTAAACGCACCCACGATACAGGAAAAAATCGTAGTGTAGAGCAACTTTAAAAAAAAGAATATTGGCAAAATGCTTCTCTCATTAAAAAATTAAGTGTGGGAGATCCATACTTCGGCACGAATGGGTCGGCTCGACCGGAGTGATACCACGGCCTCACAGAAAACCGACGTGAAATAACGCTTGCGTTGTGTTTCCTCGTGTGAGTGACGTTACCTGATGCCTAATTAGCCCCCTACCCGATCCTCCCAATTATTGAATCCCCAACGTTTCTCAAATTCCGAATTCCCAAAGGTCAGTCCGGTGTTTCGGGTGTCCATGGGCGGCTCGTTTACCGGTTATCCCATAAAGTAAATCTATTTCTTAAGATCCTTCTGAAACTTCATCTCTTTTCACAATATTTGAAAATAATACATACTTAGTTATGTCTTATAAGTCTAGTTTCCTGTACCACAAAAAGAGAAATTTTGGTAACATATCTACACTTTTAACTGACATAAACAGGAAAATAACAAAATAATAACACCTGACCTTTAAAAAGTTATAACGAGTGCTAAATATTAATTTCATTTATCTATCAGACCATTTATTCGAGAGTATATTTCTTAGAAGGCGGCTATAGATATTTGATAGGGATTACAAGTAAAATATTATGACTTACGACTGTTATGTCCAAGGTAACTACTGCATTAGAGGTAACTACAATCAATCATATCAGTTTGAAATGTATTATTTTTGTCAGTTGCTTGAACTGTTTTTAAGTATTAGTCGATATTAGAACGTTATTAGCCGATTTGGTTAATTAATATTTCTTTAATTTCGATACAAAAACTAAAATGTTTGCATACTTTCGACTTTATATAATAAGGATTTTTATATAGGAATATCTGCAGTGACCTTTTTTTTAATTTCTTTACACGTGAAACGTATGAAGTAATGCCATTGCAATGTTTATAAAACATTCGTTTTAAAATGTTTATTTATTTAAAAAAACTTTGTCCCACACAAGGATTTTCATCCTATCCAAACATACAAGTTCACAGTACACATACACATGACGCCCAGACCCGAAACAACAATTTGTGGATCACACAAAGAGTTGTTCCGTGCGGGAATCGAAACCGCAACACGTGGCACGGCAGCCGATTGCCCAACCTCAGCACCAACCGTGCAGTCTTTATTGAAAGAAGGATCGCATTATTAAAATACTTAAAAATTAATCCAATCCGTTTACGACAAAAATAAATAAACATCAACACAATCAACCAACGAAATCAATACAATCTATTAAAATTACAAACCGAACGCTCAACAACAAGTCATAACTTAACAAGAAAATATTAGCATAGTCTATGTGACGTGCAAACTCATTGAAAACCGCATAATGTCGCTAAAGACAGGACAATAATGTTTACTACAACCAGATGCAATACACCATTATAGACTTTGTGACATATGGCCGTGCGTGATCCGCTTAACATATAAATCATAGATCATTATAAGCTTAGTGTTCACAGGAGACTAAATTTATACTAATTTAATTTTGTTTTATGACTAACTCACGAAATTGACGCAGTTACTCAACTTGAGTTGGCTACGCGATGCTAGCCGCGTGTAATGCTGCTCATGGCGATGGGGATGGACCCCTAGCGCGACTTGAAATTAGTCCAGTTAACTTGCGAATAGTTGCTCGAGTAAGACGTGAAACATAATTTCATATTGATTATTCACTATCGTCAAGCATCGTCATTAGTCTAACAAGAGATTTACCACATTTATATTGTAAAAAAGATAGACATTCTTATAGATCACATACTTATTTTTTCCTTGCTAGATTTTTATGGCATACCCAATGGATGCATATCAAATGGGAGGCATCAGGGCATCAATGACTGCTAGATAGACCAGTTGGAAGTGTGGTTTAGTGAACGACTTACAGGTGAATGATGATTATGACATTTGTATGAAAAGGAATTAATACGAGCATGCCAGAACTGTAAATTCTGCGAAACTGAGTCATGAATGAGATGAGGTGTCCTTTCGACAAAAAATGGAACTGTTTAGTTTATGTATGGTATATTAACAGAACTATTTCTTTTTTATGTAGCATATTAATGAAGGATTAAGTTCTATAATGTATAGCCTTCCTTCGTGTTTCATAACTTAGTGTATCTGATGCTTAATATTACTTATAACTTTATGAGACTTATACACAATTTATGCACTCGTCTATTAATTAATAGGTAGGTGCGGTATACCGTCATTCCCAATACAACAAATGTTAAATCCGTTTGTATTTCATATTTAATTTAATTAGCTGTCTTGTCCTACGCCATACCGAATTAGAATTAATGACAGTTTACATAAATTTAATTATTGTGAAAATTCATTTTGTTTGAGAGGTCTATTTTATTGTGTTATCGTGTTTGGAAAACGCTGAAGTTACTATTCCATTTTGTGCACTTTTAAAATGCATAGATCATGAACATTGTTCCAGTTAGCTTCTTTTGAACCCTCCAGGTAGAAAAAGAAGCCCCGCATAGCGGGTATCGGTGGAACTGGTTATCATTGTATCAGTTTTTGTCATCATTGGCCTCTATTCGTCTCCAGCTGGACATGGTCTCTGTAATAGCACGCGACTGATATAGATTTTCAATCCTCTGCATCCAACCACTCAGCGGATATCGTCACTACTGTTCTCAAGCACGTTAACTGTCATAATTTCTTTTTCCCACTAGTTTTTAAACTAATATTAGATCTATAGCAGTGTGTTCTCCACTCAATGCCAGGAGTTTCACGGGAGCTTGTATCTTTGTCATTGTATGCAAAACCCGCCCGTTTCCGAGCAGGTGACGTCCATGTTTACATTTCAACACTAGACACGGAAATATAGTGCAATGAAAGGACCGATAGCTCTTGCATTAGAATAAATTAGATATTAATTATGTTGTTATTTGCTGCGTTTACTAAGGGACATTGTTTACGTAAATCGAAGTTGATATAATAATAATAATAATATATTTTATAGAGAATTTAAAATAAATATATGGAAATAATAATAATAAGCCCGCAGGGCACCTTGAGGCGAGGTGACGGGCATTAGCGATCCCGCGGGCTACCATCATCCCGAGTGCTCCAGGGAGAGGTCACCGTTCCTTCTTCTCCGGCTTGCCTTAATTGGCTGGCTGGAGTGAATGATGATAAGGAACAGGTCTCCCACCTCTGGCTTGCCTTCATTGGCCGTCCAGAGTGGAGTCGCGAGAGCAGTGATCCTGCTCGGAGGGTAAGAAACTATTCGTAAGTCGCGAGTGGGCCAGGGATGCAGGAGGCTTCGGCTGGAGCAGATGATCTGAGTAGAAAGCGGTGGTAGTTTCTTAACCCTTCAGCCACTCACATTCTCGTTGCCCCTCTGTTGCTATATCTAGCAACCATTCCCGGGGCCCGGTCGGTGAGTTGGCGAGTCTCCGCCTGCCATTTTTACGTGTAAAAATTACATTGTTTCGGCAGGTGCCATAGTCATCCATAGTTCCTAATTTACCAGTCCACAGCAACCCATCCATAGCCCTACCTTTTTTTTTCTCCATTATCCACAATAGTCCTACACTAACCGGGGACTGTCCTTGGGTGCATTTCCATAGTGCATACAGGAATAGTCGCCGGTTTGTGTGTCCATTACATTTATATTAAAGTTGTCTAAAGGGCCTCTGCGCAGTTGGCTTCGGCCCCTCGTACGCCTCCCAAATGACCGGGACCCTGTGGTCCCGTGAATGGTAAAGACATACATAATAATAATATGCTTTATTGTACACCACACAATCACATTATAGGATAAATATTAACAAAAATAGTGTACAATGGGCGGTCTAATCGCACAAGGCGATTTCTTACAGACAACCTTTGGATGGAGCAGTAATAGGAGTCTGATATGGGTCGTCAAGTGTACAATAATTAATAACTTTATAAAGTACTATACACAGAATACAAAAATACAACTACAACTCAAAAAAAAATAAATAAAATAAATAAAAATAAAATAATACCTATACAATATACAATATACAATATGATACATAAATTACATAATGGTGTGTATTTGTGCATGTGTGTGTATGTGTGTGTGTGGTTAAGATAGGATATAAAATTATAAAGAGAGGAAATGCTCTTTAACAAGTTGATGTTAAGTTTGATTTATTGCACATGGAAAGTTAGAGATGTAGTAATTTTATTAAATGTAATTTAGATTGTAAGTCTTTTCAAGGAAAGTACAAGTTGTGTATGTTAAAAAGCACTGGAAAACCCTTTTGTACTCGGGAAAAAAGAGCGAATATTATAATCTTGTCTTCTGTCAAAAATCAGACTTCTTACCGAATCCGGTATTACCGAACATAGAACCTCAATCGAGTACGAGAATCGCATCAGCAATAATCAGAAACAACACTTACGACATTGCATTCAAAAAAACAACACCCTATTTCAAACTACTTTTTTTTAAACAAATTCAACATTTCAATCCGACAGCTGCATTTTTATCCGTCAGATTATTTGTACTTGAATGTCGAGTGAGACTCATCTCTTTACCAGTGCATATATCTTTAGTCTTCTTATTATTTCATGCCATTGAATGCCGGTGACGAACTGAGGACGCGCATGAATATGAAACGGTCTCAATAGAGATGTTGTCATATGTTTAAACCTTTGACGGACTGTGGATCTCTGACAGTTACACATAGTGTATTGTGTATTGTTGGAGAGCCTTGAACCATCATGCATCAGGGTGTTTGTACTGCGGCTGCCTTGTTTGTGATATTTGTTTGTGCTGGTGTGATATACGGTAAATTTGGTTTGGTTTGGTTTTTGAATATACAATCGAGGTTTTTATAATCTACTTATAGATTTAAGAAGATGAATAAATACAATCATGTAAGACAGATTCAATTCCTCCCGAATACCAACGACTGAAACGTATAATGATGTTTTGCCTAATGTTAAAAATGGGACTAGATGGCGCTACTGAGTGTGGAAATACTATTCAGTAAGAGTAGTAAATTAAACTGCAAAGTTTCTTAAAAAGTTAAGTACCTTTGTAATATTAAATTTTGTAGTAATAATTCGATTATAATTTAAAGAGAATGGAATGCTTCAAAACAAAGTACATCGAAAATTGTTGGCGGATCTTAGAAATGTCAATGTCTTACTTGGCATCAATGTGTAGTATCTTCATGTCCATGGCGTGCACGGTGGTGAAGACGTTGGTGGCGCCGTGCACGACGCACTCGCGCGTCTCGGGCATGGCTAGCGGCGTGCACACGGCCAGGAACACCGGCTCGTTGCGGCTGCACAGCGGCAGGTACGACACGTAGTGACCGCGGACTAGTATTACCTGCAAAAGAGATAGATTGATTAGATTTATTTCAACAAACATAATTTACAGAACCTACTAAATAAAAAAACCTTTATTGTTGTTAACAAAAAGATAGCAGTTGTAACAAAGAGGTAAGAAATAGACTTAAAAACTATTGTAACATAATATCAGCAATCATCTTCTCTCCTCTTACAACAGCTTGTCTTTCGACAAGGCCTTATCTAAGGATGTCCTTTGCTACACGTAACAATTCTGGCCCTGCTAATTTAAGTCCTCTTCCATGGGAAGAGGACTTAAATTAGACGTTTATGCTGTCTTCCTACCGAACCTACTATAAACCTCTTAATACCTCAAAACAGAGGGTGACTTTGTTTAGGATACTAGAAAGCTGTTACTAGAAACTATGCGATATAGGTATACCACAGATAAGTTTTTACTAAACAACTTAAGTAATCTCGATGTTTGGGTTGAGTTTTTGCTAAAACGAAAGTTAAGGGCTACGATGCTAAGAGATGAATGTAGTTTTCGATACGAACGAAGGCAAAAACAGTGCGCATACATTCAGTTTTATAAGGAACAACAACTCTTACATGTTATAGAACCATATCCGTATCACAGTTACAATCGAATGAAACCAAGGCCTTTTCTAAAAAAGCTTTTACAATTGACACATTCTGTGACCCGCTTGCGAACGGGGCGTGGTGCCATGACATTCTTTAAACTTTTAAAGTAGCGACAATGGAACTTCCACACAATAGTTCACAGTTCAACCGCTCACTGACGCGATCTTCGATCCGGATTTGAACAGCCTTGAACGATATTTTATTGTATATCGATGTATCGTATTCATAGTATCGATTCTCTCGCTCAAAATCGATTTTAAATCGATGATGCCGCGCCGTGTGTGGTGCGTGATTAATGATTTTCGTTTTAATTGATTTCGAAGGGGACTCGTTGAGTATTTGAGTAATGTTTGAGGAGATAATTATTGAATATGTATTTTGATTTTGTTAATTTATTTACACTGGTACGGTCATAAACACTTTATTAATAAATATGATGTTGGGTTGAGAAGGTTAAATAAACATAGGTCATACAGTCGTACATGTAAACTATGCCTACTATAGAATCTGTTTACTTTAACTCACTTGTCAAGTTATTAGTCTTGATAGGCATTAGTCAGAAGTTCGATCAGTAGAAAAATACCCAAACTACCTATACTGCAAGAATACACACAATACCTTCCTACAGCACGAATGTTCGAACGTTGCACCTAATGTGGAAGTAATGAAACCAAAAGTGTTTATTGCTCTTAACTACATTTATTGCCCTATTGAAAAAGACACGAAATCCTTCAACAACTCCGACCCCCAATATCAAACTATGAATACGTCAGGAAACAATAAGAAGTCGGTACAAAATATCATTGTATCGTTGCGTAAAAACTTTAATCTACTTAACAAGATATATTTAAATGATGTCTACGACTGTAGGTCAGATTATATCATGATCTTAAATAGACCACAGTATTGTATGACAACATTATTCTGAATGCAATTTTGAATGACTGCTATGCTAATCGAGTAGGAATCGGTTCGCTTTGAAGCGTGTAGTTTGTTGTGGTGAACTTGACGTTTCGGTTTTCGGAGAAATCTTTTCGAAGTTACATTATAATGATTTAACTCAAATCAGGGGTCTCGGATTCGATTCTCGGGTCGGGCAAAGTATTAGAAGATTTAAAAAAATCTCAGTACTAGCACGAAGTCTGGAAATGTGCCCGGTAGATGGCAATAGGCTCACCCCTATTATATGGGACTCATAAATAATGAAAAGTGGGTGTTGCATTGTACAGTGGCATTAAGTGACGTAATGTGCAACTCTGTCTACCCCTTCGGGAATAAAAGGTGTGATGTTTATGATTTAACTCAAGGATATATATTTGTTATGGGATTATGGAGTAAATGACATTTGATAGAGATCGGGCAACAGTGTTCTACGAATCCATCTCATAGTCCAGAAGTGGACTGTCACTGGATGAATTGGTTGGTGGATATTAACATAAAGGTTATATTTTTATACCTAATAGGTAGTTTTTTTGTTTACAAACTTGAAAAGGCCAATATAAGTATTACATTTACTATTGACACTTCTGTACATTGTAGGTAAAAAGCGGTATTTTTTTTGGTGATGATGGCTTACTATACCAATGTTTATCAAAAATAAATAATAACAATATCCGAATTTTTTTTTTATGGCATAAGCCGGTAAACGAGCTGCGGATCACCTGATGGTAAGCAATCGGCGTCGCCCATGGACACCTGGAACACCAGAGGCGTTAAAAGTGGGTTACCAACCTTTTGGGGATTAGGACTTTGAAGATCGTTGGGGATTCAGGAATTGGGGAGATTGGGGAAGGGGAGGGTAATTGGGACTCTGGTAACCTCACTCACACGACGAAACACAACGCAAGCGTTGCTTCACGTCGGTTTTCTGCTCGCCGTGGTATCACTCCGGTCGAGCCGGCCCATTCGTGCTGAAGCACGGCTCTCCCACACCTAAATTATTTAAAAATCACGAAATACTACCTTGTACACAACCTTTGCTATGCAACTATAAATCCCCTTTAACCTTTACATCATTCATCACTCCGGAGGTCCGTCAACAGCAACATTTAATAACTCGTTCTATCACTCCAAATAAGATCTCAACTCCTTCCCAGATTAGAATTAAAAAGAATTAATTTGACGTACAAGTACTTAAGGGATTAGAACAAAAAATGTTAGTCGTAAACCGATTGGTTACGTCAACGCGACGCCCACCGAACAAAATGTATGACGATAGATTAGCCGGATACGATGGAAGATAATCGGCGTATGAGACGCCCAAACGTAAAGGTGTATGGTGTGAGGTGTAAGCTTTAGGAGAGTTAAGATTTGATGAGGATCAAGAGGTAGAAAGAACCAGAGGAATCTCCTTAACTTTTGGTGCTTTGGTGTTTATATGGTACTGGGCGATGTTTCTAAGAAAATTAGAACGTATTTAAGTCAGATTCCTGAAATGTCAAATGGGGATCCTTTTCACTAAATATACACATTGTACCATTTAGAACTAACGCCTTCTGTCACACTCGAGAGTGTCACGAAGATATTCTGGAGAAATCAACAAAGGATCAATTATAAAGGAGGTTGTAAAAAATATACTACTATTATTAATAAACTGCCTCGTTGGCCGAGTAGTCGCAAGTGCGACTGCCGGGTAAGGGGTCTCGGGTACGATTCCCGGGTCGGGCAAAGTATTACTGAGTTTTTAAAAAAATCTCAGTTGTAGCACGGAGTATGGAATTGTGCCCGGTATATGGCAATAGGCTCACCCCCTATTACATGGGACCCAAAATATAAATAGTGAGAAGTGGACGTTACATTGTACAGTGGTATAATGTGCACCTCTACCTACCCCTTCGGCGATAAAAGGCGTGATGTTATGTTATGTGTGTAAAAAATATCTTTAGGTATCGTTTGTAAAGGAAGAAAAAAGAAGTCCAATTTACAGGATATTTTTATTTGTTGACGGCTTGATACATATAAATAGCGTGAAAAATAGACTGATGAAAAAGCTCAGTCAGTGAGATTATAAAAAAATCTATTGTTATTGTGAATTGATTACTATTTTTATTCTACTTTTGTAATGTTCGTCGTGATTGCTAGACTGGTTGACTGATTATATTTGCGTGTAAAGGTTTGTTTGAAGGTTAAGAAGGTTATTTTAGTCTCGGAAATTCAATTGAATTTGAGCTCTATTGTAAGGGCAATATCTAGATTTATTTAATACTAGCGACCCGCTCCGGCTTCACACGGGTGCAATATGCATGTATTATACATACCTATAAACCTTCCTTAAGAATCACCCTATCTATTAAAAAAAACCGCATCAAAATCTGTTGCGTAGTTTTACAGATCTAAGCATACATAGGGACAGACAGACGGCGGATAGCGACTTTGTTTTATACTAAGTATGTAGTGAGTTATCCATTTTGAGTAAGGTGAATTAAACATTTTGGAGTATGAGTTTAGTGTTTCTTTCGTCATATTTCTTTTCATTTTTCACATTGTTGTTATTGTAGTCTTCTTGGCGCTACCTAGCTCAATAGCGTGACTGCTTAGTAAGAGTAACGAGTTCAAGTCCTTGATATAACATTTAATATGCGCACTTCTGCTCATTTTTTAATAAAATGAAGTCGTTGGAAACCCCATATTATACGATTACTGATAAGTGGCCATAAACTAACTGTAGTTGCTGTGCTATCACTCGCTGTCCCTCACAACTTAATCCACACCAATATTAGTTCATAAGAGTATAGGACAATCAATCGTGACTTATTATCTATTGCGTAGAACCAAATCCATCATAACCATACCGACTCATGAAGCCAATACCGAACCACTTTCTACCATAGATAAGAGTGTCGTGACTTCTCGTGACCTGATACACTGGGCATAACAATGTTACCCCTGACAATGGCGCTAGTAGTCGTACTTTCTTCACTATAAATTAGTTCCAATTTTCGCCGCAGCCGCCATTGTTATTCGGTTATTGAATTGTCAAATGCGATAGTGTTGTGATTTTGGAATTGACTTTATCTTTTGAAGTTTAAACGTCGTGTTGTGTCTGCATGGAGTTTGATTTGATCATATTATTTTGTGACTGTCGACGGGACAATGGAAGTTGAAACTATGAATGATTGGTAAAAGTGTAAAATGAGAAGTCCCTAAAAGTTTAATTATTTCAATGGTTTAATATTGGGGCACGAAGTAAATTTTTAGGGAGCAACATGTTTGATAATATTTAGACTATTTGATTTGATATATGATCACATTAAAATCCGCTGACAATATCCTCAACACAAAATATAAAACGTGCAAACATTATCACATTCCAGCAAAAAATGCTCAATCAGCACAACCCTACACACTAACAGTACAAAACCGATAAAAACCCACAAAGCTCAAACTCTGAAATTG